GTTTGAAATAACCATATCAAATGCCAAAGAACATACCTGTGTGGCACTGAGGGTGCATCAGCAGGGAGCTGAGCACTCCTGGCAACAGCTTCCCCACTCCAGATTTCCTAGCTCAGGGAAAGGTGGATTCAAAGAGGAGGAAATACAAATACGTGGGATGTAGTGACTGAACATAAATAGCTCAGGCTGACTTTCATCTTGTTCATTTTCATTGAGAACATTAATAATCAAGTGAGCTGTGAGAAACCAGAGAAGAAAGAGCTCTTTGGAAAGGTTACAAGGGGGCCACCTTGGCTGTGGTCCTCTTGAGATTTCACTTCTTACCTTCACAGACATCCTCAGATACTCTGAACAGAAGTGCCACTTGGTGTTCAGGAAGGAGATATACTCTGTGCTCACTCCGTCCTTCTGAAGCCTCTGCTTTCCTTTGTGTCTCAGTCTGCAACAAAAGCTGTCCAAAACAAACCAGTAAAAAACACAACAGGGACCTTTGGTAGGGAACTGAATAGGGTGTCCTTCTGAAGGGCCACCAAAGACCAACTTGGCAGCTCTGTTGACTGCAGAGTCAGCCATCAGCAGGTCTGACTCTTCTCTCATACATTGGATATATTTTCTACTGGCTTACTTCCTAATGTACAGGGAGATACAAGAGACACCAAATCATGCCCTTCATCATCATTCACGATTATTTTTGTACTCAACAGAGCAGGTCACGTTAATGTGCAGTTTACAATGATATACTCTCCTCTTTGTTAGGATGAGAATGGGGTTGGACTGTCTGATGAGGACCTGCGTGCTGAGGTGGACACGTTCATGTTTGAGGGTCATGATACAACAGCCAGTGGGATCTCCTGGCTCTTCTACTGCCTGGCATTACATCCTGAGCACCAGCAACAGTGCAGGGAGGAGATCCAGGGGATCTTGGGGGACCGAGATACCATTGAGTGGTGAGCTAGGACTTCTTATTCCTTTCCTTTGAACTCTTTTCACTCATTCTGAGAGGGAAACTCACCTTATACTGCATCTACACTGGTGCATTCTGTTCTTCACATGACAATGCTGGCAGCAAAGGGAGGACTAGGGGAAGGAGAAAGCCCAACAGGAGATGGGAGGCACAGTGGTCCAGCCTACCCAGTCCCCATTGCTGGTGTTCTTATTGCTGCCACTCAAACACAGCCTGACTCCCCGTTTTGCTTTCAGGGAGGACCTTGGGAAGATGACTTACACCACCATGTGCATCAAGGAGAGCCTGCGCCTGTTCCCACCAGTTCCTGCTGTGTCCCGACACCTCTCCAAACCTGTCACATTCTCTGATGGACGCAGCCTGCCAGCAGGTCTGTTGAGTTTGTTCATCCTTCATGCTGCTGTCCGTGACAAGTGGGGCATCCTCACTTGACCTGCTATGCAGAGGGGCTGGTGGGGCTTCCAGCCTCACTTCTCCCTCCAAAGGGCTGTACAGGGCCACCACAGCTCACCATCATAGCTCTGCCAGAAGGGTGGGTGCAGTGTCCAAGGACATGCTCCAGGGCATTAGGTGTTCACAGAGATCAAAGGGGACTTGGAGAGTGTTGATCCTAGCTGAGAGTAAAAGTTCATCCACTGGTGCCAAAATGGGTCCCAGCTCTGAGGCCATTGCTTCTTCCACGTCAGGGTATCAGTAAGTGACCTGTCTGGACGGGCTGGGCATTTTCCTTGTCAGATCTCCTGCAACACCCCTGCAAAGTGCAGGGAGGGTGAGCATCCCACAGACACCTCTCCTGCTGGAGCCTTTGCTCCAAGATGTCACAGGCTTTTCCTCACTTTTCTTTTACAGGCTGCCAGGCTGCAGTGAGCATATTTGCTCTTCACAGGAATCGGGATGTGTGGGAGGACCCTGAGGTACTTCATCTTTACAACAAGAAGGGGTAGATGATCTCTGAGCCCAGACATCCCCTCCCCTTGAGCAAGGCAGCCTGTGTCTCCCTGCCATGTGGTTTTTTCCCCCTCTTATTCCAACAGTCCATGTCTAGATGCCAAGTTCAATGAAGTTATCAAAGAACTGAAGGCTTTGAACATGACAAAGTTCTGGGAAAGGGTGTTGAATAGTCTCCATGCATGGTGACATAGAGACACTGGGACTGCTTTCAACTGCTCTAGAGAGACTTAGGCCCCAGTGTGGCATGAGAAGTCCAGGCAGTGTGTGATTTGAGGCTTCAAGGAAAGAAATAACAGGAAACTTGAAGGAGGGTGTGCAGCTGCCTCCCTCCAGTGGCTGCCTGGAGAGCCAGGATCATGCACCTCTGGACTGGAGAGGATCTGACTTGATCACTGCTGCCATGGACAAGAAAAGACCTGCAGGCATCTCGGGCACTGCAGTGGGTGATCTGGATATCTGCAAGGGGAAGATCTGCACAGCCACCAGTGCCTTTTCCTCATCCACCTGGTGGCTCTGTGGAGAGATGGCTGTCTTCTGCAGCTCTTCCAGAACAGCAGGGGCCACATCCAGCCATAACTTGGGGAGCAGGGAAGAATGTGGTGCTGCTATCAGACCAAACACTGACCAAATTGCCTTTGTTGCTCCTACAGATATATGATCCCTTGAGGTTTTCTCCAGAGAACTCAGCACAGAGACATTCCCACGCTTTCCTGCCTTTCTCTGCCGGATCCAGGTGAGAGATCTTTCATCCCTCTCTTGTCCCATAGGCTGCCTGGGAGACCTAGCTCAGATCAAAGCTCCTGAAGTTAATCCTCCCTCAGTGCCCATAAGTAAAGTTGATTTGGCCAACTCAAGCAGGCTTTCCATAACAGGATCTCCACCATGCTCCATAGCTCAAGAGCATTTCCCACATCCTAAGTGCTGTGGTCACTGTAGGATTTCACCCACTTTCCTGGGGAGATGTTTACATTTTCTGTTGCCTGCACTGAGAACATGGGCTTCCGTGTCCAGGGGTGAATACCCAGTGCACCTCAAAGCCAAGCTGGGTCCAAGCCTCTGTGGTTCCTGTGCTATGTCAATAGATGGATGCAGGACACTGAGGTGTCAATAACATCCAAAAGGAGATATTCCACACAGAGCCAAAAATAGCCTGAGGTGGCTGGATTTCTAGCTGGATCCATGCAGCACTTTCCAGGAAAGCAAGCTCCAGTTCTCTCCATCTCATTTTTTCAATGCTTATTCAGAAAACCCAGTAATACCTCATCCCAGAACTGGGTGCATTTTGGTGTGGCCTTGTCCTCACAGCAGCTGAAGGTCCCGCAGCTCACACATGGGCTGAGCTTAGCTCAGGGGTGGTCGGGGATGAAGGCAGCAATGGGAGCATTTGTCATCCTCTGCCCAGGAACTGCATCGGGCAGCAGTTTGCCATGAATGAGATGAAGGTGGCTCTGGCCCTGACCCTGCTGCGCTTCGAGCTCTGCCCTGAGCCATCCAGGCCTCCCACGCTGCTGCCTCAGATCGTCCTCAGGTCCAGCAACGGGATCCACCTGCATTTGAAGAAGATTCACTGATCCCATGGGCTGGGGGCAACAGCCTTCCCAAGGACCATCCTCCACCCAGAGGTTTAAGAGGATGGGGCAGCAAATAGAGACACCCTGGACACACCTGGACCTCTCCCACATGAACCTGCCCTGCTGCCATCCAGGGGGGCTCACTGAGCCCCCTCACTAACACACTGAACCCAGTAGGTCCAGATCCCATCCCCACATGGGGAGCACTCTGCCAAGGGTGTTTCACAGCCTGGCTGTGGTTCAGCCTTCACCTCCACAGGCATCCTCCATATCCTACTCATCTCCTGGCCTTCAACCCTTGCACACTGCCCGGTGGGGTTCCTCTCACCTGCCCGTGCGTTTGCACCACTGCATGGCCATGAGCAATGCTTTGCATGGACGTCTAAAGCCCATGTTGTCCCTCCCCAGCCTCCAGCCTGGGTGTGCCAGGGCAGGAGAGCTCCTCCCTGTAGAGGTGCTGCACCCCCCACGAGTCACTGTCCAAATTGTTCCTCATAATCCCTCCTGGGGCTGGCTTTGTGCCTGCCTTTATGGAAACAAAAGCCAGTGGGTGTCTCTGAACTGTTGTTGAACTTCCTTGAGCTGAGAGTGCTCAGGAGCCACCACAGAGACCCGATAACTGGAGAAGGCACTCACTGCCCTCAGAACAACGTGTGATCAGTCTTGTCCTCCTCTCTGAAATGAAAATAAAGCCTCGTGGAGATGCTCCTCAAGCTTGGCTTTGGTTTCTTTTGCATTTGGGGGACCAGGGGGCACAGGATGAGTCCTAGCAGCCTGCAGGCAAGGCTGTGCCTAAGGGTGCAGGGCTGCAAGGCTGAATAAACAGCCCTGTGGTCACAAGGGCTCTTCCAGCAGGTTTGTCCCCCAGTGAACCTAAGGAGCCTGTTTCCACCCCTCCCACACCATAGGTCACCAAGCCCTCACCTCTGCCTCCGGGAGTTTCTGTGGTAAGGAAAACAACGGAGGCGTTCTGGAGTCAGAAAACACCCACACACACCCCCAGGCAAATAGTGGCAACAAGAACAGAATCAGCTTGCAAATAAAAAAGTAAGGAGGGAGCACAAGCCTGTCTTGAGCCCTCCTCTGAAGGGCCTGAGAACTGACTGCTCAGTACATGAGTGAGCTGCCCCAGGGCTGCAGACCCAAGACCTGGGATCGTTTTGGGGGTACAAGGACCCATTGTAGGGTCCAGCACCAGGGCTCCAGGCCAAGGGGGACTTGCTGGGTGAGCTGCAGCTCCGGGCTGGGAAATGGATCACTAGGTGGCAGTGGGAGACCCAGCAAAACCCAAAGTCTTCTCTGGTCTCTGGCAAAACTCCCTGGGCTTGGCATGGAGCATGGTCGGGCCCAGAAGGGAAGCTGATGGGCCCCGTCCCTGGGGACATCCCTGTCCCTATCCCCATCCTCAGCCACGCAAGGCAGGCACTGCTGCACCCCAGTCCCCAGCACGACACTGGTATTATCTCTGGCACAGGGAAAGCTTGTCACTGCAAGAGCCCAGACACTCAGTAGGCATCAGGGGAAACTGAGGCACAGAAGAATGCACACGTGTGCCATGCCGTGGTGAGAGACAAGGCAATAGTATCACCAGCATCACTGCCAGCACTAACAGCCAAACTGTGTCTGTCTGGGCAGCTCAGCTCCGCTTGTGGCCAGACCAGGACAGTCAAATCTAAGCAACTCCTTACCTGAATTAACCCCTGTAGCCACCCTGCTCCTTGTTTCTGCTGCCTGCTGCATCTTCGGGTCGTGAAACAAAGCTCCTCCAGGGCTGGATCCAGACCTTGGCTTTGGCTGTCTTGATACCTAAAGGGAGAGGAATGCTGTGAAGAAGCAACAAGGTGCAGCTTGTATTTATTTTGCAAGGCAGTTGGAGACTGAGTTCCTCTTCTCCCAACCCCCCCCTTCTAACCCCAGGAAGAGACTGGATGCAGGTTGTGCAGGTGCTGATGCCACCACCTTTGCACTGCTGGTGGTCTCAGGTTGGTCTGAAGGGTCAGACTCCAGCTCTCCTCCTCCCCGGCTCCAGCACAGCAGGGCCATTGGAGAGCAGCAGTTTGATGCATTTTTTCTTTACTGGCCTTATTTGTGAAGCATTTCAGCCACCCACCTGGGAACAGGCAAGCCACCTTGCTGCTCTGCTCATCCACTCTCCTGCTTGTGGTGGGTCACAAAGAAAACTACGTGGCACCTGAAGATGCCCCTAAGGCATCTACTAGTTTGGGCATGGGGGGGATTAGGCCAGCACAGAGTAAGTTAGATTTGATGAGTCCCCTCAGCTACAGCTCATTCCTGTCTCCATATGATGCCCTGCTTGGGCTTCCAGCCCTGTGTTTTGAAGCCATCACCCTACTCACTGCCATGACCAAGGCTGCTTGTCTGATTTCCAAGAGTCCTCCTGATATCAATAGCCAAACACCAGCCACTTCCAGCAAGACCTTACCTAAGGTCTGTGGGGAAAGAAAGGAAAAATTACTTCCGCTTTTTATGCAAAAAAAAGGGTCATTGTTCCAGGCATTTCTGACAATAATAGAGGTAACCTGACACTTCCCAATTTCTCCCTGTTAAGAATAATGCAGTTTGAAGGACTTAAACTTTCCAGAGAGGATGTCACAGCACTGATGCACTGCAGAGCCATATTGCAGCAGCAGCCAGGGGAAAATTCTTCCACTTTTCAGTTTATCCAAGTCAAAACAATCATCCCCCCACCTTCAAACACTGGCAGTTTCTGGCCAGCAGCACGTTCAAGATAACCTCCTCTGCCAAGCCCCCACTAAACGGCTTTGAGAGCAGCAAAACCAGCACGAGGAGCCAGGCAGTGCCCAGTGACACAGATCTAATCGCCTGAGCATTTGCCCCAAATGTCTCCCTGCCAGGCAGTGACATTTCTGCCCTGTCTCAGCTCTCTCTCTCCATCACCATGGCTACAGCAGCCACCAATCCACAGCCGAGTCCTTCCAGGGTACCACCAAACCCTCTGGGAGATGCGACAAGAGCCAGCCCCTTTGGCAGGGAGACACTTCAGGGACTCCGGGACAGCCCGTAGCACCATAAAAAAAAAAAATCCCCTTTTTCTTCTTCCCCTCCTCCTTTTTATATTTTTCTCTTCTTCTTCTTTTTTGAAGCACAAACAATGGAGCTAAAAGGTTGGGTATCAGGCCGATAATCATGAATGACGTGTCGTTATTACACACCACACATTCATTATCTCCCACTCCAGCCATGTCACAGGCGGCTGGAGGAGGGCAGATAACAGGGGTGCCTTCATGCAGATGGCTTATTATCAGGATGTTCCAGGAGGGGCTTTAAGACAGTTAGTGATGCTGTTTGCCAGTTAAAGATTAGAGACCCCAGAGAATAATTAACAATCCCAAAACCCAGTTTTTCTGCTGGATTCTTCTGCTTTCTCCCCCCTCCTCCATCCTCTTTAATCTATTCACTCTAGCAGGTGTAATAAAGTGATAAGGACAGGCTCTAGGGATGTTTGTTTGGCTACTATGGGTGTATAAACCAACAATAGATGGTATTTTACTTCTGGCTTGCAGTAGCTTGAATCAAGACCAAAAACTTTGCAGCCCCCTCGCCCACACACAGCCACCCCAACGTGCCTGGCTCCCACCTGGGTGGCTGGGCTCCTTCCCTGGCCCAAAGGACCACGACAGTGAGATGGTCTCCCTTTTTGCTTCTGGAGGTCCAAATCACATTGCTTGGTTGTCAAGGTGCCCAGTGCCAGGACATGAACCCCAGGCTACACTGGTGAGGTCAGGTGTTGGAGCTGGTGGTCCTTCCACCAGAGGTTTACCTGTGTACGGGCAAGTCTTTAACAAAACCACTTTAGAATTAATATATTCTCAGGGACAGGGAGTGCTAACCTGCTTTTGCCTGTGGTTTAATGCAGGTACACCCATTGGGCTGTGCATGGACGTGAGGCAGGTGTTCACCTGCACATACTGCTCCAGGTTTGTGGTCACAGCAGAAACATTTTAAACCTCTATGGCTTAAGAGCCTTGCTGGCCTCAGGAAAGCCTCAGGGTGAAGGTAACTTTCAACAAGAAGTTGAAAGTCCTGTTATGGGGATTCCAGGGGTTGAGTTGCATCCTTGTAGGTAACAAAGGAAAGCTGTGTAACACAAAAAGACAGTCCTAGGTATCTCTGCCCAAAAGGAGAAAATTCAGACTACAGTAGGTCTCCCTGAACATCTTCCTAAAGCCCAAGGGTGTCCTTACCCTTCATCAGTGGGTGAAGAGAGATGGTGGGGAGATGGTGGGAGTTTGCTCAAGGTCCTTCAGAGAGGTCACCAAGGCTGTTGGAGGCCTGCAGCACCTGGGGGCTATCAGGTACAGGTCTGGCTCTGGAGGGCATCCCCCAGCTCACAGGATCAACGCAGAACATGTGAGCACTGGGATGCCAGAAGTTGCCTTCGCAGTCGCTCCTGTCCTGCCAGGAAGGAATGAGACAACATTGTGCTTTAAAGAGCATCCCCGACTCTATGAGCCAGAGATGAGATATCCTAATTATGGCAGTGTGAACATCTCCTAAAGCCCAAGGGTGTCCTTACCCTTCATCAGTGGGTGAAGAGAGATGGTGGGGAGATGGTGGGAGTTTGCTCAAGGTCCTTCAGAGAGGTCACCAAGGCTGTTGGAGGCCTGCAGCACCTGGGGGCTATCAGGTACAGGTCTGGCTCTGGAGGGCATCCCCCAGCTCACAGGATCAACGCAGAACATGTGAGCACTGGGATGCCAGAAGTTGCCTTCGCAGTCGCTCCTGTCCTGCCAGGAAGGAATGAGACAACATTGTGCTTTAAAGAGCATCCCCGACTCTATGAGCCAGAGATGAGATATCCTAATTATGGCAGTGCAGGCGAGGATCCGGGCCCTATCAGCCAGCACAGAAAGGTAAACAAGAAATATAACAATGGACCCTTAACACTCATTAGCCTTGTCAGATAATACCTCACTTCTCTCCCTTTGGGGCTTAAAATCTAATTAAGATTTTCCAACAACAGATTTCATTTCTGCTCGCTCCCTTTTGTTCTTTTGAGGATCCCACTGAGAAGCCCCACGAGCTGCCTGCACGGCTGGTGGGAAGGAACCTGCTTCAGAGACAGCCTCAAGTCATGCTTGACACCACAAGCTGCACGGATGTGAGATCCCACTGGGAAGGTAACACAGATGTTTTCCCCAGGAAAGTGAACTCTGAGGGGGCACTGGCTGAGACCAAGCACCAAGACCCCTGGGCTAGCACAAAACATGCAGTGATAAAGCCCCATCCTGGACCTACAACCTTGGGAGGGGTTGACAGGGAAAGGGACACCGAGCCCCCAGCCACTCCAAACCCACACCCAGGAACTGCCAGGAGAACAGCTTGGGCATTCATCTCACCTTCAGGGTGTGCATGGGGCAGGGAATAAACTCCTGCTGTTACTCATTATAAAGATGCTTCTTCCAACTCCTTTTGCAACCAAGAGGTAAAAATTAATGGGTTCCCCTCCTCTCACCACACCTCCCACCTGAGTGCTGACACAGCAGGACTAGCAATGACTAATCCTCCTGGAACCCTGCTGAGGGAAACATTCCTGCCGAACTAAAAAAAAAGCTGAACTCCAGGAGCTTGTTTTTTTCCAAACCCATGTGACATTTGTGCACCTGCGAGAGAAAAGTCAGAGGAGCAACATCCATCAAGACCATCAGCGAGGAGCTCCAGAACCTAGCCTGGGGCTGCCCAAGGGAAGATGCTGGGGATGGCAGCCATCAAGCCTCTGCACCCAAGAGCTTGACCCCTCCAACCTGTCTGCCTGTTGTCTTCTACCCCCATGCAATTTCTCAACTGGAGCTGTGATTTCTCAATGCTGAGCCTTGAGGACATTTTCAAAACACTTGCCTACGTGAGGCTCTTTGGGGAGATGCCTCTCAGGGTGGGTCTCTTACTGAAAGGCTACTGTTTTATTCCCAGTGCCCAAATTTTTGTGTCATCACTCACTAGGGACATTGGCAGCTTCATCTGCAGGAAGAGAGACAGTGGATCATGGTGGGTGATGGCATCAGGGTCCAGCTCCAGCTCCCAGCTCCATCCCAGAGGGCTCCCAGCAGCAAAGTGCCTCATTTTGGGCTGAGCACTCCATCAGGACTGTCACAGCTTCACCTCAGGGAATATCCAGCAGGTTGGGGTCATTCAGGAAAACGGGGCATTTTGCAAGCCTGCTGTCTGCACCACGTTAAGCAGCAGTTCCTCCAGGCTCAGGGCTTTTAAGGTCACCAACAAGCACAGAGGAGCAGGGGACAGCCCTTGTAGCAGGAAACACTTGGAGCAGGAGCTCTGCCAGCAAGAAGCAGAGCAGCACCTCCAGCCCCAGCACCACAGCAGCCCATTTCTGGCATCACTACCTGCAAAAGGGCTTCCAAAGCACCTTCTGAGCAGAGACCAGAGCTCCCTCCAGACCCAAACCTACCACAGCTGATACATCACAGCAGGTCTAACATTTCCCCTTGCCTTGATGCTTAGCAGAAAGCAAGATGTGGCTCAGGCACCTGATGAGCTCCTGCCACATCCTCCCACTTGCACAACCCCAGGAACATGAGAGCCCCACAACCACCCTGCTCCTCCCAAACCCAGCAGCTGACAGAAATGCCCTTCTTATAAACCCCCACCCTGCCCCTCCCAGCCTTTTTCCACCAGCAGTCCCGGGTTGCCCCTAATTGCAGAGCCCCTTAACCCTTTCGTTGCTGGTCAGGAGGAGGCTCCTGCACTCTGCTTGGGCAAATGATGGCCCAGGGAAGCCCAAGGCATTACAGGTCTCTCATTTCAATCTGCAAAAGTCATGGCTTGGGAGTGATCATTGCCTCTGCAGTGACCCCAGTGCTGTCCCTATCACAGCACGAAAAGGACCCTGGTTAATGAACAGCCTGGTGGGAGCAGGTCGCACCATGGCCAGCTGCCCTGGGGAGGGCCAGCACAGCCCAGAGCTGTCCCAGCCACATCCTGGCAACACCAGGAAGTGACTGCCATTCCCAGCCTCCAAACCTGGGAATGGTTCCCAGCTGGCTGTGGGTCTGTGCCCCTGTGGCTGGTGGGACTCAGGGAACTCTGCCTGTCATCTGTCAAGCAGTCCTGGCGAGTTCTGGGTTGGTGCTGTGCCTCAGTTTCCCCATGTGATAAATAGAGGGGAATGATGCTACTGGCCCAGTAGGGCACTTCGTGGCTCTGGGGTGGTACAAACACTGAGCAAAAAACCCAAATTCTTCTCCTTTTCAGCTCCTCCACACAAAAGCACTCTACATTTCCAGTACCTGAAGGAGTCTACAGGAAAGTTGGAGAGGGACTTTTTAGTGGTAGGATGGGAGGGAATGGTTTCCAACTGAAAGAGGGAAGGTTGGATTTGACAGATGGACCACCCGGTGGATAAGAGACTGGCTGGGTGTCTGCACCCACAGAGTTGTGGTCAATGGCTCAGTGTCCAAATGGAGGCAGGTGAAAAGTGGTGTCCCTCAGGGGGGTGCAGGGGGGGTTAGAACTAGATGGTCTTTAAGGTCCCTTCCAAGCCAAACCATTCTGTGACTTCGTAATTCTGTGATTCATCCAAGTGAGGAAATAAAAAATGGATCCTACCAAGAAGGGATCATGGGAGAGATGGGGGTGCTGACCTCTGTTTAACACCCTTCCCACCCTCATATTGCCCTTACACTGCATTCTCTGGTGTCCTTCCCTTCTTGAACTGACTGAAGGCTGGGAACTCTTCAAGATGCCACAAAGTCCTTTGGATCATCAGCAAAATTACCCTCTTTGCTGTTCTATGGGCAACAATTTTCTTTATTGCTCACAGGGAAGATATGTACAGGGGAAAAGGTTTGTTCTGACATTTAAATTCATGGTGTAGGTCGTAAAAAGGAGAGTGAAAAGAGAGCAGACTTTCCATCAGCAGCTCCCCAGAGGGCAGCTGGGGGTGCAGGGAGGCCCCAGGCACCCAGTGGGGACCACTCCATATCTGAAGCAGGTCAGCAACTCCCTGGGACTGAGGAGATCAACCTCCCCAACCAGGTGGGCTGACTGCTGGGCAGGAGGGGTGGCCCCTCCAGACCTCTCCTGGGGAAGGAGACCCACACGGACACCGGGCACCGAGGCAGCAGAGCACGTCCCGCAGGTGAGAAGGGAAAAGCTGAAGAGATGGTGGTGCCATGGAGAGGGGGTCCCTGCTGCACGTGGGGGATGCTGGTGCAGAGGGTCCCTGGGAAAACGCCCATCAGAACGGCGGGAAGCAAAGTGAGAGGAGGAAGAAGGGTGTGGCTGGCCAGGGTGCCTGCTACATGGCGGTGGTGATCACCCTCTCCTCGGGCTCCAGGGTGTTCTCGTAGGCATGCTGGTTTTCTTTGGACCTGTGTCAGGAGGGAGAAGCACAGTGGTGAGCTCACCCCCAACAAAACCACGCTACCCAAAGCCACTCCTGTGGCCCTGACCTTGCTGGTGCCAGCTGTGTGTTGAGCAAGGGGCAGGGCTGGGAGGGCAAGAGAGATCCCCGTGCCAGTAGGAGAGCCAAGTGCAAGGTAGGAATTGCAAGGACTCTTTTGACAGTCAACATCTGCATGGTGACTTATGGTCACTTTTGGTGGGTTCCTCTGCTTGAAAGGTGTGATGTAGCATAAGAAAAATGTGGTGTAGCAGGTTGCAAGATAGTGGATGGACCACAGGACTCAGCTGCAGGGATGAGGAGAGACTGGGGAGGAGGGGATACTCCCTCACTGCCTCCTCCTTAACCCCTGAAGAAGATGAAACTCCCAAAACCAGGTGCATGGGACATGTAGGACACCAAGTGGGAGATGCCATGGCTCTGCATGTCTGAGCTGTCCCCAGGGGGATGGAGAAGAGCCTGGGAGCTGTGGGTAGAAGGTCTGAAGAAGTCCTTCACCTGAAGTTGGCTGCAGTGGTTACGTATCTCCCTTCATGGCCGTTGGACATGACAGTGTCCTGCTTGTCCTCAACGCTCACCACCGTCTCAACATTTTCCCTGGAGGGGGAGAAGAAGAGAGGAGCTGAGAGAGAGCAACAGAGGGGCTGGGCCAGGGAGCAGCTCGTGACAGTGACATCGCAAAGGAGGGAATGGCTCCCAAACCACAGAGATGATAAGGAACTTGGGCATATGCTCCTGGCCTTGGACACCCAGCTCAGCCCCCTTCCTAGAAGGACACTGTGAGGACAGACACCCTTGCAGCAGGTTTGCAGGGGCTGTACCCGGATGCCAAGTGCCAGCCCCAGGAGCTGGCAGCCAGCAGGACTCATTTGTCAATACCTGGGATTGTTTTCTCCCACTAACTGGTTTTTCCAGTCTTCTTCCATGTAATATGTTGCAAAATAGTCCCCTACTGTCCCAGCGGACAGAGAAAAAGGCTGTGGCTCTGCTGGAGCTGCAGACCTGGCACAGGAGGGGTGTAATTGTGCAGGTCCCTGCAGCTGCCTCCTGGATGAGAGGCTGGATCCGTTGTAAAAGGAGCCACGGGGCAGGGACAGGGTGTCTGACCTTAGCCAGAGCCTCAAAGTTCAGCCCTGGAGCAAGTCCATGAACTGAGTGGTCCTGGGAGGGTTCAGCCATCATGGATGGGATGGGTTCAGGTCCACCCTGCCATCCCTGTCTCTTCCAGCACTTGCCTGAGGGCAATTTAGGAAGCCTTTCTGATGAAGAGACTGTAATAAATAGGCAGTGGCTTGAGCCGAACGCTGCTGACAGTGACAGTGTGGAGGTCACAACACACTGAGGTGCTGGACCTCACTGCTGGCTCTTCTGAAGAGAGGCCAAATTAATTAAAACAAGCCACCATCCCTGTTCATGCCCTCCCCAGCATCCTCTGCCTTTGGGCTGGGAAGAGGCAACTGGGCACAGGCAGAGGTGAGAAATACTGTCCCTGCCTGTGGGCTGGGGGCTCCTGCAGTGTGAGGACAAAGGCTTCCCTTTGGGAAACAGAGACTGCAGTTGCAAATCAGATAATATGCATATAGATATATATACACTCTTTGTATTGTGCATTAGCCCTGAATGCATCCCAAAGGGCCCCCCTTAAATGCATCTGGGGCTGAAGCCAAACTGCTGAGCATCAGGGTAAACCCCAAGTCCCCACTTCCTTGGTCTTTAGAGGCTGCAGGGATGCACAGGCACAAGAAGACTCCAGCACCTTTGGGTGCAAAGCCCAAAGTGCCTGTGCTGATACAGAGGAACCAGGAATCAGGCTATAGGGCACTTTGAATCTTCATCCTCTGTTGATTTTTGTCTCAGATTCAAGATTAAGTTACTGCATCTTAGCCAGTGAGCCCAGGTGGGCTGAGCAGGAGCAACAGCCTGTGGCTTTGCTTGGACAGCAGTGGGCAAGAGGTAACTGGTCCTGTACAGCCTTTTTCTGATGCATAAAGGCACCTCCTTTTTCTGTTCTGGGTTGAGAGCATTGCCATGGCTTGCCTACCTCCCTCTTCTCCTGGTTCAGTACCTCCTGCCAACTTGGCCCTTTCTGCTCTGCAGGTGAAGCTGTTTTGGGCTTGTTTTGACATTGAAAAACTGCATCTGGAAACTGCACCCCCAAATCCATAGGAACCCAGGCTGAGGCCATCCCCCAGAGATGTGTGCCCATGGGAACCAGACCTGACACTGTGACTCTCCCAGATTTCTGTCAGTAGCACCTAAGGGCTCTGTTTGGGGGTGCCCTGCACAGGGAGCAGCAGGAACAGAGAGAGTACACCCACACCTGGCAATAAGTAACAGGAGTGGAGACCAGGACAGTGAGAAGGGAACAGGGAGAGCAGGACAGGGAGCCTTTGCTCTCCCTGCCTGGCAGTGATCACCCTGTTCCCTGTCCTGGCACTGGGACAGAGGCAGCTGGAAGTGACCCGTGCAGAGGCAGCTTAGCCCAGCTAGGACCAACCCCCAAGGCTCCCACACTTACACTTTCTCCTTACACCAGAACCTATTGACCACGAAAGCGATGGCCACCAGGACTAGGAACACAACCACTGCAATGACACCTTGTGACCATGGCTGGAGGCTGCCTCGGGCTGCAGAAAAGAAGAGGACATGAATTAGAGAAACGTCTTCAAGCTTTGTCCACCCAGATGAGCTTCTCCTGTCCAGCTTTGGCAATGTCCAGCCAAGAGCTCAGTCCTGCACAGCCAAGCAGAACATGTTGCCATTGACCCAGGCAGGCTGATGTGGGTGACTGCAATGGAATAAAGTGCAGGTAACAGCAGTTTTGCTGGTGTTTTCATGTGGAGTGTGGTGCCTTGCAGCTTTGGGCCCCATATGTGCATACATACAGGGATGCAGTGGGGCACAGATGACTCTGGGATAAGGGATGAAGGACTGAGGGATGTGGCACAAGCATGGAGGGAGAATATTTACTCAAAGTGACAGGGAAAGAAGGCAGAGGGGTTTCACCAAGATGTTTGTTCTCCTTCCCCAAATGCCACAGATGTCATTCCTGGTTTATTTTCCAAATATTGCTTGGAAAAATAAGGACCCCACAACAGTGACAGTGTAAAATGCAGTTATCACTCTGCACTGTCACTGTGAACACTTACAGGCCTGGGTTTCAGTCAAATCTACCCTTCAACAAGTTTCCAGATCAGCAAACTGATTTATGACAGGAAATGGAAGGCTGAAGTGTTCAGAGCAGCAGCCTCCAGCACAAAGGCCAGGCATACTGGCGGGGGGCCAGGTGTCAAGACTGGGGTGGGGGGGTGGGGCTGGAAGCTGACCATGGCATCCCCAGATCCCCCAGGTTGGGATGGCTTCACAAATTCATTTCCCTCTTGCTGGACCCGGGTAGCGATGCAGCTGTGAGATGTATTCCTGGACGTGGGAGGAACTGGAGGGCAGGAGAATGAGAAGAGGAAACCTTGTTCCAGCCTCTGCTGGGAAGGCTGCTCCTTGCCTCCCAGCAGCTTTTGTGCAATGGAGCACTTGGATGTATTAAAACCTGTCCTTAAGTGTTGCATGAAAACAAGCACTCAGCTCAGCACTGACAGAGACCTTGTCCATGCAGACACACCCCTTCAGGATTTAGTTATTGCTTGATTCAGGCACAGCTTTTCCTCTTTCTGCTGGTTGAAACACCAACCCTTGTACACAGATGAAATCCCTCAGCGTGGGCAGATGGAGGATGCTCCCCGCCAGGACCCAGTCCCTGCCACCAGCACCCACAAAGCAGAGCTGCCCCCCAGGATGGGTGCACTGGTACTTCAACCCGACCCAGGAGCTTCACGCTGGCTAAACATTTCATCTGTCTCAATGGAGACAAATCTCTGCTATAAAGGGCAAATCATTGTTACTTGCAGCAATAAAGGTGAGCTGTGCACAGCTCTGCCTGTGTCCACACCTCATCCTGCCACTGTCTCCCCTGCCAACAGCTCTCATCTCCTTCCTCTGCTTTTGGGGACAGGCACCGTCCTTTGGTAAGACCCCCAGCTCCTTGAGTCTTTGCTGCAAGAGGCTTTTATTTAGAAGAACAAAACCAGACCAAAGCTATTTTTACCTCTTGGAAGTGGAATCAGCCTGGCTGGCTGACTCACCACCTGTGCCAGTCTGGAAAGTGGTGGCACCCCCGGGCAAGACACTGGGACAGCAGCCCCTCACAAGGAGCCATCAGCCCCCCCATCCCCTCCTCCCTGCAGAGACACTGACCATGCTTACTGCAAGATCCTGGTGCCAAAACACAAGTGGGAGGAATCTGGGTGAAAATTCCCTCTTGTATCAGCGTGTTTCAGCTGAAATCCCATTTCATGGGCACACTGCTGGTGTGGGGACTGGGGTGGCTGCCGGGGGGGGAAACCCAGGACTTGGTCCCCTCCTGCCCTAGGTGATGGGTGGGGTTGGTCCTGTCCCTGCTGCTGGCAGTCCTGAACACACCTCTTGCCTCCAGGCTGAGCTTTGGCCCTCTGTGCTTCCTCCTTTGCTCTGCCCTTGGCACTTATCTTAGCCACATTTATTCATTAATTGTGGTTTATTTTTCCTGCTGGGGCCACGGTTTCCAGCCTAAGCTTAGGAGGTGATGATCAGGTCCAGCTCCTGGTGAGGTTTCTGCTGGGGTTAAGGGAGTTCAAGGTCAACCAGGGAATCAAGTCAGCAATGAGTGAAATTGCCAAATTTGCATCTTACGATCTGGAAACAAAAGAGGTGAGAAGATAAGTGGTAGGAAACCTCCTCAGGGCAGCTGCACTCAGCGGGTTCTGGATGTATTTGCAAGCAAAACCTCACTCAGATGTCTGTTTCCACCAGATTTCAAAGCATCCAAAGCCAAAAGGAAAAATACCAAACCAAAATCAAGTGGTTCTGGCTTGGAGAGACCACCCAGAGCCTGGCTGCAAGGGGAGATGAGGGTGGCAGGGGGAACAGCAAGTGCCTCCAAATCAGGCCAAAGTACCCCCGTGGGTGAGGGAAACTTGTGTGGGCATAAGAAAGAAGGAATGAGAACCAGGAGGAGTCACAAGCTTAATAGCATCTTCTAGGGGAGGGAGTATCCAGATGGCAGCCCTGGGGAATAGTGTCTGGCTGGAGCCTCCCCAGAGCACATCTTGCTGCCCTGCCAGGAGGGGTGGCAGAAAGGATGAGTCTCACCTGTGGAAACAAGGCTGTGTTCCTGGTAAAAGGCTTTACCAGGGACTTCCCTCCAGGGCAGCCAGTCCCTCAGGCATTGCCACCTCCTCTTTCACCACACAGCAGTGATGGGTTTGCCCTCTGAAACAGGATCTCCTAAGACAAACTAAGCAACACAGGGAGACCAAGGGAAGTGCCAATGCCAATACAAGCCCTTGCACATGCTGTAACTCCATCTCCATACTCAACAGTGAAAGACACAGTTCTCGTTTTTGATACCACTTCCCTGAGTGTCTTTTCCCCTCTCCAAGAAAGTACCAGACTTTAACTCCTCATCAAAGGCTTTTTTGTTGTTATTGTTCCCTCTTCCCAGGCAACAGCAAAACCTTCAATCCTGCTGACAGTGGAGACCTCAGACTGTTAAAATCCTCAGCAAGCTGGTAAACAAACACAGGAAGAGATGTCAGGGATGGGGCGTCAGGAGGAGAAAGGGGGAGGGAATTTTCCAGGACTTTGGCAGCATCAGATGAGTTTTTAACTACTCGTCATTATTTCTAGTGTCAGGCAAGTCCTTCCACGAATTCCCTAAAAATAGCACCCTGGCCATCGGAAGTTTCTCTAATAAGTCTTCGGGAAAGGAACAGGAGAGGAATTTGCCCAGGAAAAAATTTGCTCTCTCACCTCGGCAATGATCAAAATTACAGATTAACAGGAAAATCTGTGAGCTCGGGGAGTGACCCAGCTCAGCTTGCCCAGGGATGAGAGCAAGCAGAAAGAAAGAAAGAAAGAAGAAGAAGAAGAAAGCCTTAAGAAAACAGATTACTCATCTCGGTGCCCAGTCCTGCCCGAGGTGAAGCAGAGCTGCTTTGTCTCTGCGTGAGCAGGAGAAATAAACCTGGAAGGGCAGTTTCAGCCTTTGGCGAAACAGGTTGGAAATGTCCTCGTCCCAGCTCCGTGTCTGGGCTCCAGCAAGATCTCCCAACGCCTGCTGATGTGAAGCCAGAGCTGAATCTTGGGCAGGAGCTGGGATGTTTTTCTCTTCCCGAGAAGCCCTTTCACAGTTGTCCCTTGTCCCCAGACCCACCCTGAGCTCCCTCCTGCCCAGGGCTCAGCGCACCTTCCTGCCTCAGTTTCCCCGGGCGGTCAGGCAGGTCCTGCACTTACCTTCCTGGCAGGAGGCAGGTTCCAGGGCCAGGAGCAGTCCCAGGAGGAGGAGGCAGCGGGCAGCCATGGCGTCAGGCAGGGCTGTATGTTCCCAGGACACGGAGGAGCCGCCGGGCGCTGCGCTGGGGCACCCGCCCTCCTGCAGGAATGAGCTCTTGGTCAATTATCAAACGCATTAACGAGGGAGGCTGATGCTCACACCTGGTTATTCAAATCCTGCTGCGGGAAGAGGGGGAAGGAGGTGCTTCTGTCTTTCTCCCTTGCAGAGAGGCTGGAGGGGAATTTGGGGCATGGTGACATGGAGCTGACAGTCCCCTAAGGGCGTGGAAGGGGACTCAGCCATCAAATATTTGCACAGGCCCAGGAGGAAGAAAGGACACCCAGGTGGGTCAATCTGTCCCTGGGTGCCCCCCCAGGTCACCCTCCCAGCAGCAGAAGAGCCAGGGGCTCCGGCCATTCCCCAGCTCAGACATCCTTTCCCACCCCCTGGGACCCCAGGTCCTGGGGACGTGGGCAGTTGTTTGGCACAGCCCCTACCCAGTTCCCTGCTCTTTTCTTTTCATCAGGTGTCATTAACAACCCAACAAAACACGTTTGTGGCTTAAAAACATCTGCTTAATCAACCATACTGGAAGCCAAGTGCTGCCTCCCACCTCCCACACCTGTTTAACGGAGAGAGACTGTAAAACCAAGCAAACATGGTGTTCATTTTGTTGAGCCTTCAGAGCCGTTTCCAACATTTCTTTGACACCAGAGGAGGTAGAAGCACATGAAGACCCGTGGCAGATTGCAGACCTGGCTGGCCCTTCACATCAGCTGGGCAGATGCTGTGGGATGGGGACGGAGCACTGCAGGCTTGTAGGTCCTGAATTAAGCAACTTCCCAGCCCATGGGCTTGGATGGCTGACAAATCCATCCCAGAGGAAGAATAAAGCTATTTGGCTTCATGGCTGCACAACTTCAGTTACTCATGAAGGAAATTTGAAAAGTGTGAGCTGGTGATTTTACTGTCATTGTTCTCATGGTGTGTCACAGCATCTCCGTAAGCCCAGCCCCATGTCTGAGCCTGGTCGGAGGCCTCTGGGTCTGGTGGTTCCCTCTGCAGGGACCCTGCCTGGGCACTGGGTCCCCAGGCAGGCACCCACAACAGACCCAGGCTCAGGAACATGCAGCACCCTCAGGAACACATAGTCACCAGAGCAGGATTGCTCCTTGCATCCCTCCTCTTTTCCCTGGATCTAGAATAATGAAAGTTAATCCTAAAAACAACCTGGAGCTGGCTTGAGCTGTACAAGATTGAAGGCCTGTTGCTGGCTCTCTCCCAAATTCCTTTCCACCACCAAAACCCCACCTCAAAATAGGACAATCCCATTCCCAACCCTGCTAGATTTTGCTTACGAGCTCTGTGGGGCAGGGACTCTTCTGCTGCACCCAGCAAAGAGGTGGCACAACAGGGACCTGCCCAGAAGGAGGGCTGTAAAAGCAATCTCATCCTGTTACAGAGAAAAAGGAATGGCTTGCAAAGAAATAAAAATGAGATTGAACTTTGGGTTCCCCAGGACTTGCTTCCATGTTATCTATCCAGGAAAGCACACAGAGCTTGCAATCTTTTCTGCCTGTTTGTTGCTTGTCTTACAGCAAAAGCCCAGCAAAAAAATCTAGCTGTTTAGAGCAGAAAGCTTTATCAGCTGTTCTGAAGTCCTGGAGAAGCTGGTCCTGCTGCTGCCTTTGGAAAATTCCAGTTCAGGGGCATCTCTCTGATCTTGCTATCCACCCCCAGTCATGCCTGGGGCTGCAGCAGGTTGATCATGGGGTTCCTTCTGGTCTTCCTCCACGTGTACTCCAGGTTGTCTTCTCACCCCAGGGCTCAGCCCAGCTCCTGGGACCCTGGGCAGATTTTCCAAGGTCAGGGATGGCTCAAGGCTACACCCATACCCTGTTGGGGGGACAGGACACGACAGACCAGACCCAAGCTGAAAGCAGGGCTGCTGTGCCTTCCAGACAGGGCTCTTGCTGTCAGCTCCCTCCTGAGGAGCAAATAACACTTTACCATTGTGCAATCACACATTTATGCAAAATTTAAGGCAATGTAATTATTTTATTGCTTTGATTTTGCTGATGAGGCCAGGGAATCAGTCGTTTGCTTATCTCAAAGCTCCCCTGTGCTCCACTGCATCTTCTCTAGCCCACGGCAGCTATTAGGAAGGTATGTGCTGTTGTGGCCCAAAGCTCCTGTGGCACCTGCTTGGGTGCATAACCCTGGGTCCAGCCTTGGGGGGGGGGATGAGAAACAGAAAGTCACTTTAATGGCAGAAGCCTTGTTGCAGGGGCAAAGTCCAAAATTTCAGCAAATAATTTGCCATCCCCCTTCTCCTTTTGTCCTTCTGGCCATGGCTTGGGAGCTACAGAGATGAGAAACTTCTGTGTTTCTCCTGCAGCAGGCTGGAAATCTTGCTGTCTTTCTCACTTAAACCTTCAGCATCACCCAAGAATGGTGAATCAAAGCCCTAACAGCTCCATTTTGCAGGTGAGGAGAAACTGAGGCCCAGAAGGGCAAATCACCTTGTGCCACCTTGGCAGCATTTAGTCAAACCCAAGTGGATCCAGAGCCAGGTCATGGCTGAGTCCCAGGGACCCATGTGAGCACTTGCCTGCACAACAGGTCTTGCACAAAGCAGGTGCTGGAATTTCAGGATTTAAGCTGATATCCTCAAAAACTGGCAGTTTTCCCCCCTGTGAAATATGTTGATTTTGGGGCAAAATTAACATTTGCTCAAAGCAACATTCCTGAGCCTGAAATGTGTTCCTGGGTGATATGGCTCAGAGCACAGATGCCAGTTCCTCTTTGAAAAACACTGTGGGGCTCTGTGTTTTAATGGAGGTTATTTTTCTTTCTCCTTCACTTCCTTCCTCCCTCCTTCCTTCCCTTCTTCATCCTCTCCATCTCCTCCCCCCCCTCAGAAGTTCCACAAAAATAAAGAAAATACATGAGAATGAGTCTGAACATCCCCTAAAGGAGAGATTACACTTTTCCTAGGAAAAAAAAAAAAAAAGAAGTCATAATTCATTTGCTGTTTCAATAGGTCCTCCAAAAATAAAAGAAAATTAAAAAAAAAAATAAAAACAAACAAACACAAACTGAATTTCTAATTGCTTGTTTCAAAACCAAATATTCCTTGCTTGCCCCAGAATTCTTTCGTTTCCCATCCACACTGGCTTTCAAATCCTGCCTGGGATGAACACTGCCAGGGGAGAGCCAGGAGCTATGACAGTTATGAAAAGGGTCTGGTGTGCCAGTGTGGATAAACAGCAGCAGAAAAAGGCAACCCCTGCTCAGGCTTTTTGTTTATCAGTAATTTTGTACAGCATTTCCCCTCTGTAAAAATGCCTTTAAACAGCAATTTGTTTTCTTATTTGTGTGCTGATGAAAACACCACTGGCAGGGGGGTGGAAAAGGGGCATCACCCTTCACCTGCCCCATCGTTCCTCCCCAGCAGCCCAGGGTTCAGCTGGTCCATTTGCTCTCCTCCTGCACACACACACAGGGTCACAGGAGAAAGCCACCTCTCCACATTTTATTAGACCATTCAAGAGTCCCCCAGGGCTGATGCAAATCACAAGCCTTGGATGAGCAGCAGAAAGAGAGGGGGGTGGCATGATGGTGGCCATGAGTCCTCCAGCACCCTCATTTTTGGGGGATGGAGATTTTTTCCCCTTCTCCTCCCAGGCAGCCTGGATGCTCTGACAGAGTGAGCCAGGACCATTCCCAGCAGGACACTTGCTGGGAGCTGGTACCCAGCAGCTGTCTGAGATGAAGCCCAGACATGGCACCAGCATCAGGCACCAGGTATGCCCTTCATTTTCCCTCAAGATCTGTTCAGTAGCATCAGCATGACCTCTGAATACTATGTGGGACCCTCTGGACAATGTTTTCTATGCCAGTTGAATTTTGGCACACATCTCTGAGCAGCATTCCTGTTGGCCAGTGTCTGTGCTGGGGATTGCTGGTGCTGCTCTGTACATCGTCTGGCAGCAATCTAGGTATTCAAGGACATCTGAGGGCTCCCTCCTCTATCCAGCTGCCCGTTTGCACCCAGCTGCCAGGATTTGTCCTCTCTGAGCTCCCTGCTCCTCTGTCCCTGGGGTCAATATCTGCCAGGGCTCTGAAGAGCATGTTCACATCAGCCTCCAGCCCTCCAACCCTAGAAGATTAACCTGAGAAAAACCCTGCCTGGTTTGTCCCACCTTGCCCTAAGCTGGGAGGAATCAAACTAAAAATCCCAGAAACAAGAAGAAAATCCACCTGCCTCTGGCATCCATGATTCCCCCTCACCTTTCCCATCTGTCCAGGGGGTACATTGCACCCCTGATCACCTTTGAGTGCAGGGGAAAGAGCTGGTGCACTGCTGGAGTGGCACCTAGCCAGGATCCCAGAACATGATGCTCAGAAAGGGAGAAGAGAGCTGGCTTTGCTCTGGATATTCCCTCCTGCCCAGCGATATCAAATGGAATGAATAATTTACTATCCGATCATCTCTTCATCTTTGTCCCATAAAATCAGCAGCAAGCTGGGAGGGTTTTTGAAGCCTCCAGCTGCATTTGCTGATAAGACATGAGGCAGGGAAGATTGGAAGCCCATAAAAATGATAATCTCAGGCTTCAGTGTAACTTGGTGGAAGGGTTTTCTCCTGTCTTTTCATTTAGGATGGATTTCATGATCTTCCTTAAATAACAACAAGCTTTCTCACGAGGAATCTCCCACCCAAAACCTGATTGCATCATCATTAGGAAATAGGAGGTCAAGAAACCCCAAGGAAAAGCTGGAGAACAGGTTAGCACAAGGGCCATGGCCCTGCAGAGCTAATGGCATCTGTCTTCAGGAGGTAGGAGGAAAGGAGGGGATTGCAGGTGATTTCTGAACACAGAGAGAAGCTTTAAGCATCAGGGCTCTGCCTGGGAGGGTTTGGTACTGGTGCCATGCCAAGCTGCTGGGCACAAGCCTGATCCTGAGCCTGGATGTGAAGCAGAGCCACATCCTTCTCATCCTGCACCTCCTCCGTGTGAAGA